TCCACAAAATTGGAAAGAATTAAAAATCTCCTGTGTAATTTTAAAGGCTAAAAGGCTTTCTTATGGGAATGATCTTCAGACCAGCAAGAGATTTTTTTTTAATGCAAGAAAAGCTTGAAATGATTTCTAATATAAAACTGCTCAAAGGGATTAATAGAACATGTAACTAAATACATCTCCAGTGGGACCTTAATTCTGTGCTGGCTTGACCTCTGCTTGTCCTGTGACCTCTGTGATCATGTCTTTACAATACCAAATACCATCTTGGTGTAGAAGGTAACACATTCTTGTATGTTTTTCCTTCTCTGTACACCCTGGCCTCTTGTTTGTGAAAGGAGTTATAAATATTAAGTGTCATTTGTGAGAGCTATGAGAAGAGTCAGAATTCTAATCTCCCTTCAGCCCCCTCATCCCCCCCATAGCTTAAATCCCAAACTCTTTGTATGTTTCCTTGTTTATAAAATGAAGAAGCTAGAGTAAGTAACTGAGTTATCATAATCCTATATGATAAATATCTTTTAGAGTGCATTCTTAGTATTCTCAGAAAAGTTAACCTGTTTGGTTCCTACAGTAAGACCTACAGTAAGTCTTCTTAAATAAAAGACTAAGTATCTTATTTCAGTGACAATATTGGATGTGTTGTAAATACCATGATTTACTGTGTAAGTTTTAAATGTGTTTGTTTTACAAACTCTTTTTCTATTTGCTTGAGGCCAGGTCTCATGTAGCCTAGGCTGGCTCTGACCTTTCTGTGTAGCTGAGAATGACCTGATAGCCCTGCCTTCATCTCCTGTGAGCTGTGATTACCTGCATGGGTACCACTGGGTTTATTGGTGCTGGGGCTTTGCACATTTAGGCAAGTGCTCTGTCAACTGAGATACGTTTCCAGCCTCCATAAACTCAACTCTTTAAAATATGTATCACTACTGTTTTCTTTTTGTATGCAGTACATGGGAGGGGTGCTCAAGACATGGCCCATATGGAATTCATAGGACAAGTTTGTGGAGTCAGTTCTCTCCTTTACACTTTCATGTGTTTTCTTGGGTTCCTGGGTCCTCAGGCTTGCATAGTAAGTGCCTTTAATTGCTCTAACATCTGATGCGTATATGCAAATACCTGTGTGATATAATTGTATGAATTGCAATTTAAATGAATTGTATTTAAATTTAAATAGCAAGACAAAAACGTTTCCTGCTTCATGATTTTGACAATGAACACCCATTTCAGTGTGTAAAACATTGTCTTTATATCATATGAAAATAGGCCTCATGTTCCTGATCTTTATATTTCTCTCTGTTTGTCTGTCTGTCTCTCTTTTATCTTATTTCTTTTTTTGTGACAGAATGGCAATATGTAGCGCTCTTGCTCTCAAAGCTTACTTTTTTCTTCCTTAGCTGGGACTAGTGATTCATGCATACTCATTTTCGCTTCTTTAGATTTTTGAACTCCACTAAATCAATATAGCAATAGTATGAATAACTTTTAAAAACATTTCTTTTTTTTTTTTTATTTTGACCGTGTGTGGGAATACTACAAGTGTGCCCAGCGCCTGCTGAGGCAAGGGGGTGCTGGATTCCTTAGAACTAGGGTTATAAGTTGTTGGGAGCGGCCCGCCAGCACCAGTGCTGGGATCTGAACTCTATAAGAGCTGCACCTTCTCTTAAACTATGAGCCATCTCCCCAGGCCTATGACTAGTTTTTGCATAGCATGAGCGCAGAAATTGTACTGTATTTATTTATGAAATGTAGGCCACTCTCCCTTTTACAGATGATAAACCACTTAAAGTCACACAGCTTGGTTGGGATTTGAGACCAGTCAACACATTGCAGGGAAGGCTCTTCAAGTCGTAAACTTTGCTGATTTAAGATATAAAAGATGCACATTAACAAACAGAAGATATACGGGATGAAACCGTACAAAAGCTAGTTAATAAAAACAGTAAATAGTGTGTATTTGACTTAAAGGCAAGTGTCATTTTAGCACAGATGTTCTTGAGGCTGTCAGGCAGTTCAGTGAATGTGGAACTTTGTTTGGTAATAGAAGCAAATGAAAGTAAGCCTTGAGCGAACCTTGTCATCAGCGTCCCTGAAGAAGAGTAGAGTGACCAAGCAGAGGTGGTGGTGAGAAGTGATTGATGCTGAAGCTTCCCCCTACCCCCTTCCCACATTTCCTGGGTTATTTGGAGCCCCATTACCCCCAGACTGTTTCTGCTAGCTAGTGGGTTATGGGCTTTCGCCAGCACCAAGAGCACTGACTGGAGACTGGTCTCCTAACCCTCCAGACAGCTAATGTGACTGTGAAGGCGGAAAGCCCAAGAGAGTGGTAGGCCTTCACCAAAGTCTCTGGAAAGGAACAGAGATTTCCCTTCCCTCACCATCCTTCAGGACAGAAATCCTGTACCACAACCTTTTGTGCGCTGTGGCGTTGTTCACCGCCTGGGGGCGCAGAGGCAGCAGATGCTCCCTCCCGAATCTCCTTAGCTGGGTCCCAAACACCTTCACCTGGTGACACACCAGCTGTGTGTGTCGCTAGCTGCTCTCATCCAGGTTTCCCCTGCTTCTTGCCGAATGCAGGAAGCTCCCGATCGATCCCAGCTCGACAGAGCCACCTCTCCCAGCGCCCCACCTCCAGACCCGCGTGGGGTGGGTAGGTTGCAGCGCCTGCACACCCCTCCCCAATGCCCACCTCCGCTCGCTCGCCCACTCCCTGGATGTGGAAATCCTGAGGCGCATTCAAACCTCTCCCCAAACATCTACCCCGCCTCCGCGCGCCGCCTCCGCCGAGGCCTCTCCCTTACCTACTCTCGTGTAAGCAGTGGGTGGGGATATCCCCACGCACCCAGATCTCCGAAAGAGCCCACCCTTGTCCCGGGGAGCTGGCTCCCTTGAGGTCCCTAAACAACTCAATTCTGCCAAGGCCCAGGGCACCAGCAGACAAAGACCGGACTCCCCAGCCATCGCTCACCTCCTCGCAGCCTCTCCCTTCCCACCTGTACCTTCAGTCCGCCGCACCCAGGTTGGTTCCAACGTTGGGAACGCTCCTCCGAATGTGGAGAATCTAGTGCCCAGGCCTGCTAAGGAAAAGGCCCCAGCGCCTGTCCCTTAAACAACTGTCGTGTCTGCTCAGTTGTCAGGTGCATGCAGACGTCCGGGGTGCACGCAGACCTCAGACCCCTCGGGGTGCGGTCTGAGCGCCCACTTACCACCTAGCTCTGCTGGCTCGCCAGGGTTGCTTCTCTGAAAAGGAGGTGGTGCGTTCCCAGAGTGCCACCTCCTTCCCACCTGCGCTCAAACTGCTCGCATCCGGCGCTCGACTCTGGGTGCGTCCTTCCCCCAACTCAGTGACAGCGCTTGGGCTCCCCCAAAAATGTTTGGCATGGCCAATATGCACTTTAGACCTTGATGGCATTTCTCGTCCCTCACTGAATCTCAGACCCGGGACCATCTGCTTGGTGGGTCTGATAATAATTGTTCACGATAGTTCGAGCCTTCCTTCAGACACTGCCATGCCTCTAACGCACAACCCACTCACGATGGGCACTGACTAACCCCAGGGGGAGATGACTCGCCTGGGCTTTCACCCCTGGGCAAGTAGGGACTGACGCCCTAGGGTACCTCGAGCGAGCCCACCCTCGGGTTCCTTCCACTGCGGGGTCCAGGCCTTCAGGGAAGAGTCTGAGTGAAGAACGGGAGGGCGTCAGGTTCTTACCAGGCCAGGGTCCACTGGACTAGCTGGAGGGGAAGCTCTAGCCCTCTGGCCTCCGTTGGCCGTGCGCATGCGTCCAGAGTGTGCCTTAGTTTTCTTTCACTAGCTAGCACGGTTCCTACTCCGCCCGCGCTGGCTCCCTGCCTCCCGCCCTTTGCTGCGTCTCTGGGTCTAAGCTCCCGAGCGTTTCTTTCTTCCTCCTCCTTTCCCTTTTCTGACTCCTCTCCGCCTCCACGCTCTCTTTCCCAGGGCTGGGCATTCCCTCCGCTCGCCTCCTACTGTCAGCCACTCCCAGGCTGGGGGCACTCCTTAGTCCCAATGCCCGCAAGAAGAGCCCCCTCTTTTCCAGAAGCACCGAAAGAGTGGGTGAAACGCGGAACGAGCTTTGAGGGTTCCTGCAAAGCCCTCTCTTTTTATTCTCTGGCCTTAGCTTGCGCGGGTCTATTTAGAGCGAGTGAATGAGTGCTGGGACCTTGTGAATGAAGTGAGGCTCGGGGTCCAGCGCGGGGATGAAGGGAGGTGTCGTGAGAGGAGCGGATGCTCTGTACCCTGGGTCGCGCCTGTGAACTGCCATCTCTGCAGGACAATTCCTGCAGACGCCCGCCACTGTCCCTACTGCCCTGAGCGCCACCGACCTCTGCTCCCAACTCGTTCCGTGCAGCCTCTAGCTCCAGTTCTCTCTTTCTAGACGGTGGTCCCACCTGGTTCGGTCAGCCAGAGTCGGATTGCCCCACCTGGCGACTGGGATGGCAGGACCTAAGCCTGGACTCGGGTCTCACGCAGTCCCTCAGCAACCCCCTTTCCCTTAGGAGTCAGAGGAGGAGGGAGGGTCGCCGCCCGCTCTGGAGTAAGCCTTGCAGAGGGCCCCTGGGGCAGTACGCCTGAGCTCGGAGGGTAAATTAAAGCAGCAAAGTGACCTGAGACAAAAATAACACCACGTCATTTCCTCCCTGATCCTGCAGAGAGGGCAGAGGAGTGCGAGCGCCAACTCAACCGCGGGCGGTGGCGACGCGCTGGGATGCTCTGCGAGCCAGGCTGCGGGAGGGAGCTGCAGCCACAGTTGGAAAAGATCCTCGGAGGCGTCAGAGGGCTTCCTCCCGTTGCTAGCAACTGTAGACAAGGAATGAATGGCTTGGGAGAAAGTAGCTTCTAGTGCCTCTGCGGACGTGGGAGTGTCAGGGAGCCCAGTAAGCCCAGCATTGTGCCGGGTTGAGTCAGTAGGGGGTAGAAGGAATGGGAAAGCCTGGGGCCGCCGGAGGCCGAGGGTGGGTTTGGTGGTGTCCCCAGTACTTACGGACTCCGGCGAAATCCTCCCAGAGCAGGGGTCCTCTTCTCTGGACTCTGTGTTTGGACTTGTCAGTTTCAGACGACGACCCCTAGGAGGTTGGCCTGGCAGTGCCATTGAGGCCGCGAGTAGGAGCTGGAGGCGAAGCGACACTGGAGAGAGCCAGGAGGCGGGCCAGGCAGGAAGCTGAGAGGAGAAGTCCCAGCGTGGCGGGCGAGCAGCAGGATGGGGACACCGCAGAAGATCCGAGAAGAATCGCCTGAAGCTGACGAGCGGGGTAGAAAGGTGGTGGAGCGTCGTCCGGACCGCGGGAGAGTCTGGGAGCTGTGCAGGGCGAACGGTGGGAAGGTTGTGGGCGAACGACAGAAACAAACCCAACACATTAGGATCTTGTCCAGTGACCTGCTTGAGACCGCTTGCTGGGGCATTTTAAGAATTTACTTTGAGGATGCAAGAGAAAGTCGGTGAAAGCAAAAGAAAGAGGGAGAGGCCAGTCTCCCTTCACCTTTCCCCTTCTTTAAAATGATGCTGTTCAACGCTGTGGCCCCTGGACCAGCAGCTGTTGCCAAAAGAATGCAAAACTTAGCCAGGCGTTGGTGGCCCATGCCTTTAATCCCAGCACTCGGGAGGCAGAAGCAGGTGGATCTCTGAGTTCAAGGCCAGCCTGGTCTACAGAGCAAGTTCCAAAGTAGTACAGAGAAACCCTGTCTTGAAAACTAAACAATACAAAAAAGAAAGAAGGAGAAGAAAGAGTAGGAGGAAAGAAAGAAATGCAAAACTTGAGCTTCTGCTTAGTGCATCAGAATCTGCTCCCGTGAAGTTTGTATACACGTTCAACGTGGCATGCCTGTGTAAGAAGGTTTATGTTCACAGGTGTATTTTTACAGTTCTTCCCTTTCTTCGGTCATCGGAATCCTTCTCGATGTGTCCTTTTCCAATAAAACACTATATATCCAAGGCACTGATACACTTGGTTACCAGGTCCTACTGGGGTTGCTGTTAAGTGAGACCTGGATGGTAGATGCAGGAGGCTGAAGAATGCCAGACCCGCCTTAGGCTTTTGGGAGAAAGAGCTAGCTAGCCAACTTGGCCTTATCATTCTGTGGAATAGAGGTTTGGTTTTGTAAGCATTCCTACTGCAGGCCTCTTTCCTGAAGTCTGTGTGTACATCTGAGTATTCTTAGAGTTCGTACACTTTCTATGTGTTCCTAGGAGATTTAGGCATTAAAGGGCTGAAAGTAAACATGCTCTCTCTCTCTCTCTCTCTCTCTCTCTCTCTCTCTCTCTCTCTGTGTGTGTGTGTGTGTAGTTAACAAATAGCATTCTTGGGTATGTTTAGTGTGGCACTCAGGAGCACAGGGTCCTAGAAATAGCCTTCCCACCAACAAACAACTGTGGGAATGGAACTGAAACTTTAGAATTTATTTACTCTTTTTTTTTTTTTTTTTTGTAAAATGAAAGAATGAAGTTAGTCTTTAAAAAGAACCTTTGGCTGGAGTTGGTGAGGTGTGACTCTAATCCTAGCATTTGGGTAGGCATTTCTCTGTGAGTTCAAGGCCAGCCTGGTCTACAAAGTGAGTTCCAGGACAGCCAGAGCTATCTAAAGAGTACAGAGAGATCTTAGTTTGTTTTGCTTGCTTTAAAGAATCTTTAAACTTTAATGCTTCTTGCCTTTGTAGGAGTGTTAGGATGCACAGCAGCTAAGGCTGGGAATGTAGCTCATTTGGTATGTTGCTTTCCTAGCATGCTTACCTAGCCCTGGGTTCAGCTTAGCAAAACTTCTCATATGTTAGTAAGTGGGAACACCATCATCCATCATTCTCAACTTAGTAAATTTGAGGACAATACAAGGTATTTGAGAACCCAAGAATCTGTTTCAAACAAGAGGAGGAGGTGGGGGGTGGAAGAGAAAGGGAAGGAGGAAGGAAAGAAAGAGAAGATACACAGTAGGGTTGCCAAAAAGAACTATTTGTAAATAAGTTTCATTGCTTTTTAAAATTGTGTTTTTTCTTTCTTTTCTTTTCTCTTCTTTCTCTTTGTTTCTTTTTTCTTTTTTGAGACAAGGCCTTGCTGAGTAGCTCAGGCCAGTCTTAAACTCCATCCATTTTCTGACTTCAGTTTCCTGGATATAAGGACTGTAGTTGAGTGCCACCCTGCATCTTTAAGTCCTTCTTAGCTTCTTGGGCAGTAATATGTAGTGTCGTTACAAACCGACCTAACTCTGCCAATCCAAACACTACCCTCAAGCAAAACACAAAAACAGTTCAATCTTTCTTGTTTTAAAAAGAGTAGTGGTTGCCAAGAAAAATGAAAGTGGAGGCGGAAAGCAAGGAATAAAAGTGACAGTGTGTTGGGGCTCCAATGGGGACAGCGCCAGGGACAGCTGGGCTCGGGTCCCAGGGGCGAGGCGCGGGCGCTCTCCAGGGTCCTGAAGGCGGGAGCGGCCGCGGGCACTCCCGGGCCTGGCTGGATTCCCGGAATGGGTACTCACTCGGCCAGCCTGTTTTCTTTTGTCGGTGGAAACCTTGTGGGAAGGGATTGTCGGGCGATGGGGGTGGGGGCAGGGAAACCTAGCAACCCCGTTCTCATTCATGAGGCCTTTTCTGGGAAGCCGCCCAGCCCTGTCTGATTTGTCTCTATCGTTTGTATGCGCGGGAGAGAGTTGATCTGAGTTTGCATTTCCGTTTAAGTACACACAGTGTCGCTTTCCTTCACTACCGTTTCGTGGGGGAATGGGGTCATTCTAGGATTTTCAACACTAGATTCACAGGCTCCCGCACCTGCCTTCTCCATGGTGCATTTACTTTTGTGGATTGGACTATGAGCGCTGGAAGTTTCTGGAGAAATGCCAACAGCTCACTTGTGGAGGGCAAATGAGCTATTTGGGAAACTCAGACCCACCACCTCACTCAGAGACGGAGAGTTGCCTTGCCCTGGGAGGGGCAGTGGACATAGCCCTCCAGGCGTGTGTGTGTGTGTGTGTGTGTGTGTGTGTGTGTGTGTGTGTGTGTGTGTGTGTTGATGGGAGGGGGTTGTTCAACACATGCCAACACACTTGTTGCAGGACCTGGGCGGTTCTTATGGGTGCAGCTACCCTGACTATGCTTGGGCCATACCTGCTCATCGCTCCTGAGCCCCAGGTGTAGAGTGGCCATAGGGCAGTCCCAGAACCCTTCTCTAGACTGCAGTACTCAGCAGCTGGGTAAACAGGTCTGGCTCCTTCCCAGCAACCTACACCTGGACAGAGCCCAGCGTCAACCATTGCTACTTGCCCACACCAGAGAAAGTTAGAATGCAGTCAAAATGCTGACAGCACTGGGCGGCACACTTCCGAGACTGTTTGGACTGCTTCCAAAGTTTAGAGCCTTTTGTAGATTTGGGAAAATCCGAGCCTCCCTTTTCCTCCTTGTATTCCCAGCCAGTCTCTCCCCAGTCTCTCTCAAGTCCCCTTCCCTCGGCATGCTTCATTAGGCATTTTGCTCCGGTCCCCTGCTTCAACACAGAAACTCTTTTGAGGGAGCTGTGGAAGAATTTTTGGCAGAATAAAAGTCCTAGCAGATCCCAGAGAAACAAATTTTGTACTCACTTACTCATCCTGAGACACTCACCTTGGGTTCCCTAGACTAGCCTGCCCACTAGTCCTGGTCTGAAGCCTCTTGATTTGGGAGCCTGGGTGGGACCCAGGTATAAGTATGGTGGGTGTTGGTGATAGTGATCTACAGGCTCCAACAGCAAGAACAGAGGGAGCCATGGAGTATTGATGCAATCACAAAATTCGATCTGAGAAAAGCTTTCTCAGAAAAGACCTTCAGCTGTCTGCCTGCTCCCCACTCCTGACTCTCCACTCGTGGACACTGCAGAGGCCCCTCCTGTCTGCCCCCTACACTTCAGAGACCCCTGTCTGCCTCCGTGCACTGCAGAGGCCACTGTTTGCCCCCCATTATTGCAGAGGCCCCTATCTGCTTTCACCACATTGCAAAGACCCTTTCTGTCTGCCCCCTGCTCTGCAGAGGCCCCTACTGTCTGTACCCACCCCCATCACCCACTGCAGAGGCCCCTGTTTGCCTTTTCAGCTAGATTCAAAGCATCAGTCTGAAGTGTAGGTAGCATTAGTCGAAAAGTGGAATCATCATGAAATCCTTACTCCTGAAAGCACTGGTCTTTATCAATCAGACAACTTAGAAGCTCTATGCTGACTGGCTATTGACTTACCTAATTAATCATATTGTGTGCTGAAAATCATCAAAATGACTTTCTGCACAGTGGACAAGACAGACTCAAATCAATGTAAACAGTACTTTCCTGATTCCCAGACAAACTGAGGTTCTTTACATTTAAACAATTTCACAAAGGAAACATCCAATGCAAATTAAACTACCCCTTTCCCAAAATAGGCTAATCACCTGTAGAGTTAAAAATAACAGTTAACACAGAATTTAAAATTAGTTTTAAATTTATGAAGTGATCTATTTTCTACAAAACCTTTTGTTTAAAATTCTTTCTTGTTGTGGCTTAACTGTGTTGCATTTTTAAATTTTCTGGTATTGGAGACATCAAAGTCATCCTTCCTCTAGGATCCAAGGATCTAGTAGGCAGCAGTCAAGAAGTAAAAAGGCAGAGTTTGCCTGTGCTGATATAATTGGGCAGATGGGGAGGTGATGCTTGAAATAAAACATGGCTAATAGAGCCACAGATTATTATTAATTCAAGGACCACTCAACTATTAATAACATACTTCTATTTGCATTTGCTTAAAATCTCCATGTTCTCTCTGGAAGCACAACGGTTTGAAACAATATTTCTACAGTTCATAATTAGTTTTGACTTCACATATTATTTGATGATTTTCGAAATGTATGCATGCCTAAGGCCTATGTGGAGAAGCTGTGGAGATGTTGTATAATGGAAATAATGATGATGAGGAAGGCGGGGCTGAGGACAGATAAAGTGAGGCCTTTGTTTGAGTATTTTCCATATCTTTTATGGTTTGAATGTGCCACTCCAAAGTATATGTGTTAGTGATTTGGTACCCGGTATACCAGTGTTCAGAGGTGGGAACTTCAGAAAGTGATTTGATCATGAAGGTTCTGGCATCTCTGGACTGCTTGAGTTGCAACATTGAGCTCATTCTAGCTTACTGGCTCTATCTTGTCATGTGATGCTCTGTCATGTGATACAGCAGGGAGACTCTAGCTAGATACAGGGTGGATGCTAGCACTAAGCTCATGGACTTTTCAGTTGCCAATAAATGCTGATTCTTCTTCTTTTTTTGTTTTGTTTTGTTATGGAAATCAAGATAGAATAAGACAACATCCAAAATAAAC